AAATGAAAGGGGGATATAGGGATGGTTTGAAGCACCAAAAAGGAAGAAACAAGGGGTTATTACACAGCAAAGATGCACAAAGCTACATGACACCATCCCTATATCTTTGTCTGATATTAAACTTTACTTCAAGGTAAACTGTTGCAGAGTGGAAATGACGGAGACGTCAAGCGCGGCTCTTTCCCAATTAGGGAGGAAAATGTCAGCAGGGCGAGATTGGTTGTGAACAATAACACAAAGATATAGGGATGGTGTCATGTAGCTTTGTGCATCTTTGCTGTGTAATAACCCCTTGTTTCTTCCTTTTTGGTGCTTCAAACCATCCCTATATCCCCCTTTCATTTTGAAGAAATGATTTTTCCACTTGTTTCCACTATTTTTCACGCCTTATGACAACACTGCATTTTCAGTCACTCTGATGTTCATGGGTGTTGTAGAGATAACTGTTGAAAGCAGAAGTTAATGGGCTGCTCCTACCTGAAGCAGGGTGTATGCGTAGTGTCTCCAACAAGGATGCAATTAGATTGTGGCACATATGGTGGGGTGGTTTCATAGGCAGGCTTCAGTAATCAGACTATAATGATAGCTATAACCTGGGGGACAAAGAATGAAGGCGCTGTGCAAGGCCCGCGTAACACGGCGCACACGGCCAAGTTGCTCCTCGTGCAAATCAACAGCTAAACGCAAGCTAGCCAGTTAAAATGTGTATACTGACTTACAGAAGGCACTGGAGGATAAGAATTCCTCTGCAGGCTAGGCATCCTGGCTTAGTCTCGTGCACCAGGTTCACGCACGAAATGCGCGCGCACCGCATTGGGGAAACGCCCTCCTCGGCGCATGCGGCTCACTGATGCTGAGTTAGCAGCAAATGGCGTTGTTCAGTGACTACCGTGGAAGAGCTCAATGATCTACCGTAGTGACTTGCGGCAAGAAACAAGCGATCGCTTGATATGCGTGCACACCTGCGGAAAATTTGGAGACGTTCTGTGAAAAAACCAACGCTTCAACTGCTTCCGGTAAGGAGCTAGCGGGTTTGACGAAGAAGAAGAAGATGAAGAATATTATTATTATTATGATGACATGGAAATCGCGAAATCGCGTAAGTGCGAATTCTCTGGTGGGGAACTGAGGGCACGTAGGAAGTCTTGGGGCATATGTATAGCTAGGTATTGGCCTCTAGACTATTGCTAGTGATTTTGAAGCCATGGTGAGTCATTCTCGCTGAGTTTTGAGGCGTTTTGTACGCGGATCACGTGAGATTTCACTCGTGTCATCCCTATATAGAGCGTCTACCGACGCTCTGATAATACCCTCTTTCCTTTGTTTCGTGTATAAACAGTTTACACACCAGACCTTCTACTTTCTTCTTAAACACACACATGTTCACACACACATGGTCACACACACATGTTCACACATGCCACAGGTCAACTTCCAATCCCTATTGATATGAATGTGGACTACACACACCAGGCAGTCCCACTCCCCCACCTTATGATGATGGGTGGGGACACTAGTCACAGCGGTGATGAGGAAGACACTCCTCCCCTCCCCTCCTCCCTCCCCCTCCTCGGGACGGGACCCAGCAGTTTGTCAGCCATGTTTTATGTATGGAACACCTGTGATATCGTCTCTCGTACACGTGGTGTACAGAGATTTTGCCACAGTGATGTCATTATTACAGCGTGGTCTTATGCTATATACCAGTAGTATAGCCAACTGTACATACGCACATGTAGGGGTAGAGTACAGTGTCACTTTGCCCACGCCCCAGCTGACACAGATGTTGACTGTGTACTTTCACTTTTCAAAGATAATATATATGTTTTCTTCTTTTTTCATATATAGGACTAAATCATGCAGTTGATGTCTTTGAAGAATATTTGGCAGAGATTTCTTGTTGGCTAATTAAACGCAAAGCCAGGCTGTGCCTATACATACATGAAATTATTCTAGTGAATCATTATATCCCTGCCACTTTGATAATGTGGACGTGCTTGCATTCACTTGAAAAAGGTTTTATGTTTCTCATACACCACTTCAAAGTACACTAGATATGTGGACCAACGTATATACCGACCAAAGAGCCAACCAACATAATATACAAACTGAATATATACCCACAACACGAGATTGTGTGGTTGTTGGTAGCTACCAGGCATTTTAACTGAGGATCAGCCTTGTGCATATCAGATCACCTGAACAATTTAATGTCTTTCAGGTCAAAAGAATAATCGAGCAACTCTCTCCACAAAGGAGCTTTCATTGTTATTCCAACGGTTGAGTTCAGCCAACAAGGCTGTGCAGCAGGCATGGAGACACAAAAGAGTTTACTGACAATTCGGAACATTGTCGGAGGTAAGAACATTAGGAGTTTTGTTTGGCTGCCTCTCTCCACCATGGGCCCTCTCACCCAAGAGCCATGCTTACCCATAACTAATGTCTTAGGAGAACAATAGCTATAAACAAGCAGCGACAAGTATCCGAGTCACGCTATTTAGAGCGCTTTATAGAAGCTCTGTTTGTTCTAGCAGTAGTGCACACTGTTTGGGTTGAGTCTCATGTAGCCCCTAGTTATTGTGACTACCATCCACCTGGTCATGCTCTTGTTTGAGACTCTAGTCCCCCAGTTGGCTGGTAAATACCCTGTCATTCCCTGGCTTGTGATCCTCCTACTATATTCATGCTCATTACACACACTGGTGACGGAAAAAGCATCCATGGAGCCAGTCTGATTGCGGAGTGTTCATCTGCCGTCAACAGGACGCCCCTATCGAGTCGGTGAACTAATATAGCCAGTGGAGACATGCACCTACGCAACTTGAAAAAGTGGGTGGGGCTCGTCGACGAGGCACAATAGCGCAGTCATGACGAAGTTTTGCAGCAGTAGATTCCAGGGTGGAAGAATGGCACAGTATCACCTTCTACTACGTAGCTGCTCTGCTCCAGCTACTGAGAATAGCTTCTGGTGAGAAAGAAGCAAGCTGCAGCAGGTTCTAGCTAGTAGCCATAGCAATTCATCTGTTTCTCTTCAAAATTAAACTGCCCACTGCTCCTAGTAAAGTGGCTAGTATACTCAAAACATTGGTTAATCCACGCAGTGGCGTAAGTAGGTTTACAGGCAGAACATTATTAATTACTGAGGATAAGCTACAACACAACTGGCATGGCTAGCCCTGCATCACAGCTGCACTTGTCCATAAGCAGTGTTGTGAGAGGTGGGGAATGTTGTCCTTGTGTATAGGACCATATGCCTCATTGGAGGTCAGCTGAATGTCTTGTGAACTCTTGACCTCTCTTGCCACACCCACCTCCTCATAGGTGACTGGTGGAGGGAGGGGAGAGGGAGAGGAGGAGGTGGGGCCAGACAACCTGCCCCTCACTCTCTGTATGAGGTACAGTCCCACCATTCCCAGTAGAACTCCAATAGTTAGAAACACAAGACTGCACACAGCACCAATGATTGCTGGTGTTCTGATATCATCAGGTTCTGCTGCTATTAATAACGAGGTAAGCAATGCAGCTGACCATAATAGAGAATTGTACCTTCTGTCTCCACACATTGAGGAGTGGTTCCATTCCAGAGGCCACTAGACAGACATTCTCTGGTAGTGTCTCCCTCTAGACTATAGCCATCATCACAGAAGTAGACTGCCACTGATCCTACACTGTCTCCACTGTAACACACCCCACCACCACTCACTGACCCACACACTCTGTTCTCCTCAACCAGAGAGGGAGACAGGTCCCTCAATGAACAATTCTTGTCTATTAAGGTGTTACAAAAACATACGATAACACAGTTCCCAAAGAGTGTTTTAAAAACACACTGATGAATGCTTTCTGTGTTCAGTAAAGGAAAGGCAAACGAAGTAGGAAAACATAGTCATTACTTGGTGGTTTAGGCGGTGGTGTAAAGACACAGACTAGGTCCGTTGGGTGAAGGGACCATGATGAGTTTAGACATTGAGATGACATCCTTTCATTAGGAGTGTATCCATTCTGACAGTGGAACTGGATCTCTGCTCCCTCCTCTGTACTCCTGTACTCCTCAATACTACCATTGACTGGTGATGGTGGAGCTCTGCAGCCAGCTGGGAGAAAACCACAACCATGCAAATTACTATAGAGTTATTGCATGGGGAAATAAAATAACCCTTCCTAGCTACCTACCCTGCACACTAGTCAGAGATACAGGGTAGCTGGTGCCAGCACAGTTGTTGGCAGTGATGATGATGGAGTAGACAGTGGAGTAGTCCAGTGAGAGACGTAGTTCAAGAGACTCAGTAGTTGTCTGGACCACAGTCTGGTCCTCCTGGTGGAGAGAGAGGGTGTAGTTGTCAATCTCCACCCCTCCATCATCTCGTGGACTCTCCCACCCAACTACCAGTGAATACCGAGATATTCCATATACCACTGACGATGTCAGGTTCCACGGAGGTGAAGGGAATCCTAAAATAGAACGTAATTAAACATCTCCTTGTGATAGTCTTCTTTGTACCTGCTATCTTTATGTATGATGGTACTGAAATATTGTTGCTTATCCCATTGTAGCAGAGAATTTTAATGGGATAGTCAGTGAGGGAGGGGTTGACTCGTGTGTGGAGTGTTGAAGTTAAGTCACCGAGGAAAGAGTACTGCTGGTCTCGAGAGTAGTTTGTCAGTGAGGCAGTGAATTGGCCAGTGGAGTCAGTCTGAGTAGTGAGAGATGAGTCATCTGCCAGGTTGAAGAGAATAGTGTTATCACTTGATCCAATGACCCAGGTCAGTCTTCCAGTCCCAGGCACAGCACAAGTCAGAGTGACATCTTCACCAACACAAGAAGATCTAGCTTTGAAGCTGAATGCAACCAAGACAGAACTAATCAAGTTCTCTGCCTGTGCTTTCAGCTCTGAAGAAATCCAACTGACTGACCAGTCTATCTCTACTCAACGGACAGCTAAATGCCTTGGATACTGGTGGCATACCAACCTCACACCAGTGAAATTAATTGAAGAGAATATCAGAAAAGCTCGTAGGGCTTTCTTTGCCCTGGGTTCTATCGTGCCTACCAGGGTGCCCTAAACCCACTCTCTGGGCGTAGCCTCTTCTCCACTTTTGTGCTGCCGATACTCCTCTGCGGCAGTGAAAACTGGATACTCACCGAATCCTTGTTAACTACTGTGGAGAAGTTTCAGGCAGAGATCGGTAGACGCATTTTACGACTACCCAAATATTACTCATATATACTTGGCTGTTGTCATTGCTCTGCACTGGCCAAGAATGAGAGTTTGGATCCTTCTAAGGAAGTTAACTTTTCTAGTGAAGCTTCTCCAATCTACCAGCGACAACCTCAGCTCTCGTGTTTTCCGTACACTTGCCTCTGAGGATGTCAGTAAGATCAGTCTGGTCGAGCAATGTCAGCTACTTGAAAGTGAGTTTGGTACATCATTCGCGGCACAATGCCTTAATGACCCTGGAAATGCTCAATTAGTACTGCAAGAAGCAAAAGAAGCTCTGATCTCAAGGGACTGGGAAATTGTGCTAGAGATGGCCAAGTGTCACCAGTCGACTAAGCACATTGCTGACCCTCGAATCGCCTCCTCATGGTGCAAGCTATGGGACATCGCCCTAGATCACGGAGTTCGTGGAACTCGTTTAACTCAACATCTACTGAGTGTAATGTGCAGACCAGTGTTTGGAAAGCGAGAATGTCCCATCTGCAACAACATCATCCACCAGAGCACTTCGTACTTTGAGCACGTGAGCTCAGACCACTGCAACAGTGATATATCTGTCGCGGGAGTTCTGGAAGCCATTGAAGGAGGTGTTCACGAAAACATCCTCACGATTGCCACTACCCTCTCCAATTCTCTCTAATCTCTTCTCATGTTCACGTCATTTATATATACTTATATTTTTCTGTATGCATAATCGTTGTATCCCTCTTGGGGCTCATAACATGAACTTTGGAACTTTGGAACTTTGCATTCCAGGTGTGTATCATAGGCTAAAGAGTATTCATGGAATGTGGAATAAACACATTATTCTATTACTGGACAGTGCTACAAATAACATTGCTGGTTGATTGTGAATGCTGTATGATTTTTACTTCCTATAGAAGACGATAGTGGCTGAATTTAACGAGGTCTTCCAATCAATTCTTCGGTTTCAACGTTTTCAAGCCACTTCCTCTGTATGAGCAATAATGCTGAGAGAATTAGAACTACAAAGAGAACACTGACAACACCAACAACTCCAACTGTACTAGCTGAACCACTCTCACTGTCATCTAGAGTATAAATCCATGTTAAAAACAACAAAAGGACAAAAAAGTTAGCTGTTTTCAATCTAAAAGGTAAAATCTTACCCATTTTCAGTCACGTCTTCACAGGAAGCTACAATATTAATTACAGTTTTTTCCCCACATTCATTTTGTCCTGTTAAGACAACCGATTCTGTAACATTTTCTTCACATTGGCAATATTTTGGTTCTAGGTGTACAATTTGCTCCCGACGCACATCAACAATTTGATTTGTAAAATTTTCCAGATCTTTGCATCATTTTGTTTATATCCATATTTTGTTTGATGCATCCAGAGCAATTTAATTCATGGCATGTAAAGTTTTTCACTTCACATGTATCACCTGTGGGTATAGGTAACTATAGAGGTCACAAGACAAGACAAAGTGAACTATGCACTTACTTGTAATATTTAATGCTTTTGAGCTAAGTTTGGCATCAACACATTCGATGTTAGTCTCTCCATAAAAACGTCGCTTTGCTTCGACTGAAAACACTGACAGAGCGTTATTTGTAGGGTCAGGATCTGCTATCTTCTCCTCAATGCTTAAACCAGGACAGGTGTAATGATAGGTGTCTACATTTCTTTCGAAAGATATATGTCATCTTGAAATATTCTGAGAATGTTTGCCTGATTGGCCATACAAACAAATGAAGTATATACAATTTGTATATACAGGAAGCACTTTCCTCCTTTATATAAAAATATATCAACATCCCCTGTATCAATGAACACTAATTGGTTAGAGTAAAGCCATTGCATGTTGCAGCACATTTACCTTTGTATAAATATACCGTAGTAAGAAGTACGAGCCTTTAGATCTAGTGTTACGACGGCTTTTGTCAGAAAGACAAGCAATATGCACGGGCTAGGCTTACAGCAAGAGCTGGCTCCGCGCTCCTCCAGCTAGCTAGCTTATTTCAGCAGAATTGCCACGCCACTTTACTTTTTTGCCAACTTGACGCCGTATTTTGTTTGTGGGCTCTCATCCATCTGAGGGCAAGCTTCTTTCTGTGTGGTTCTGCAAGCTGTTACTATTTTCTCCATCTCTCTACCATCATTCGAACAAACATACATTATCTGAGGAGAGGGAGCATCTCCCTGCTACTATTATTAGCTATCAGTACTGTGCCACATTGTAGTTGAAGCTGTGATGTGTTTCCTCTTCCTGCAGACCGTTGTGTAACACTGGATAACATCATGCGTCAGATAAGACCTTTGGCACATAAGTGGTCCGATTTTGCCAACTTCCTAGAATTGCAGGATCCCGGCATGCCAGACGTTCACAACGTGAGCTATTTAACATTACGTTGCTACTTACTCTTATCAAACAGCACTCTGATGAGGAAGCGCTGAAGGTCGTTGTCACCAGGTGGATGATTAGGACTGGGAATACCCCAACATGGGGGGAGGTGTCTGGGTTGGTGAGGCACATTGGGTTCCCGGAACTGGCAGATGCTATCAACAGGGTCTATGTCACAGGTGGGGATGATTCAACTCTGTACTCTGTTTTTCACTCAATCTCTCCTCTGCCTGACTGCATGAGAATTTGAATGTATTGTCTGCCTCTCAGGCATCGTGACGGTGAGAAGATAAGGCTAGGTAAAATACACTCTTCAAAATGCTGTGCTTTTGGACATACGAACTCAAAAGCCACTGACCTCACATTAGAGCGACTGTTGTGACAAAACAGTCAACAGGAGTTGAGTTTAGCAAAAGCTTTGAGAAAAATAGGGAAACTCTGTTTGTACAAGTGGAAAAATCATTTCTTCAAAATGA